CAAACCTTTTAGCTTAGTTTTTCTCGCAAATGCTGCCACTAATGAGTTTCTTTCATCTTCATGCACTAAATCAAAATTGACATTCCCATTCTTATCGACACTGCTTACCTTGCACTCAATAATATCACCAATGTGGATATTCTGAAAACCGAAAATATAAAAAACAAAAGTATTACGTCATCTCGCTAAGCAAGTGAACTTAGTAAAAAGTAAAAAATCTTTCAATTCGAAATAAAATCAATTGTTGTATGAACCAAAAGTGGTAGAAGGTAAAACGAAAAAAGTCAGCCATTCCAATCGTTAATAATTATCGACATAAAATAATTATCAAAACAAATCTCACCTCAAAATTAGTTCGTTTTACGAACTTACTAACAGCAATTATATCTGGATGTCCATTCAGTGTTAATAAATTGCTATTCTGTTGACAAAACATCACTATTGTTTTAAAAGACTTCAAACATTCGTATGGATCGTTGCGATACCTAGGTGGTAAATGTTGTCTGCTTACATATCCTTTTATATCTGAAATACTTAAGAATGAAATCATTAAAAGCCAAAAAGAGAGAATATCTTTCTCTTAAAAAGAGAATAATTTTTATTCTTTAAAAATACATACAGAAAACAACACAGTTAAAACTAAATTATGTCCTTCAAACAAATTTAGTTTTCGAGTGATAATCCCAAACCCAACTTTAAGCTGTGATACAACCATTGATAAACTAATTAGTTGATGTTTTTATAAACACACTATTTTTTCTTCTAAACAGAACTATTTTTAGATTTTCCTACAGCTAGAATATGCTGAATTATTATTTATAAAAATTAATTTCGGTAAGATGAAATTCTAAACTTATAAAGTTTACCATTCCCAATATTGACATAAACACCACTATGAGTTGGCTGCAAAGGATTCACTAAAAGTAAAGTTCCTGGCATTAAATCGTTAAGTTTAAGTTTCTTAACAACGGCATCATCCAAGCATTCCATTTCAGGAACAGCAGACAAGCTGATAACTCGTGCCTTCTACAACAAAAATTAATTTATGCGAACTTTTAGATTGTTAAAATATGAATTGCTGCTGAAATTAGCTGTTCAGATTAAATTCAAATCATTAATCAAAAAAAAAAGTTTACAATTTCAGAATAGCCAGTATTTAAAGTTGAAAAATTAGTTTTACTTTATTTGATGAACTTTCATTCTGTATTCGCAGTAAAAGTGGTTGTCCTTTTATTAAGCTTTCCTTTGGAAAAGTAGATGGTAAGTGTCTTTCTGCTAGAAATCCTTTTAATTCAACTGATTGCAATCCAAGATCAATAATAACACCTATAATAATTGTTTTTCATTAAAGCCGCTAAAAAAAAGAAAAAAAATAAAATAAACGAAAAAGTAATAAACTTCTTGAAATTATACCTTTATCTTCTACACTTCCCACAACGCCATTAAGCACAAGACCATCAATTAGAGCGCCAGGATTGAGATGGAAATTTACAATTAGTGGGTCACAGCTAACAATAGGATATGAAGCTTTTTTCCTTTTCTTTTGAGTATCTGAAAGATGAACAAATAGAAATTATTTACTTCCCTGATTTCTTACTTAATTATGTTCATGAACAACACTCTTTTGGAATTGAAGCAATTTGCTAGATTTAATTACTAACATATCCAAGTTTTCTAATAATATTAAGTCATAAATTTCAAATTGGAATGACTGCCATATATTAAAATCGATCTGCTATTGAACCTGCAGGAAAGCAGGGTTATAGAAAGCAAATTATAAGTAAGCAAGCAAGCAAACTTACATCAAAATATCCCTTAGTCTGATTATTTAATAATGCATAAAGGAGCTGCACTAATTTTTGATAGCCGTTAAAAGCTAACATATCATTTTGTATTACACTACAAAAATTTTTCAGATCAAATTTTATAGGAACCAAATTTGGAAATTATGAAAATACCATGAGTTTCTCTGCCTTTGATGACTTTGAATGCTAGCATTTGACCAACTCTAAAGACATCTTCTAGCGTAATAGATGAATTTCTAAGTGTTTCCAGCATCAAGCTGCCGAAATTTTGAACAGGTACTTTAACAACTACACCATCCGAGCATTCCAACAGTATTTCTGCCTCTCTAATCTAAATAGAATCAAGAAAAAAATTTCTTAAACACTGAAGCTGTACAATCTTATTACGTGAAATAAGAAACCATTAATTCATCTCAAAACCTTACTTTCATAACAACACCCAATCCAAGCATTCCTTCAGTGAGAAAATTCGGAGTTATACGCTGATTCCATACACCAACATATTCCGACTTTTGCTTATTTTTAATCGGTAGGTGCTGAAAATATCATTAGCAAAAATTTTCGCTACTTTATCCCTATGAATTCCATTAATCAATTTCTTATATTATTTAAAACCAAATAAATACCATTAACAATAATGTGTCATTTTACAATGCTATTAATGTCAACATTTTCAGTTGAATAACTATCACGTACTGTTATCATAGCCATCATCTATTCTTTAATGTCATAATTGTTATAATAAATATTATCACTATTATCGCTATCATTATTTTTATCATTACTGTTGTACAAATAGTAGCACAGACTTCTATAGTGAAAACTTCTACTATTACTGTTAACATTAGCATCATTAATACTGTTGATACTATCATCAGTATCCATAGTTAATGTTGACTTTATTATAGTTTAAAAATACAAACATGAATTAAACATTACAATACTTATTTCTGCATACGATCATTTTAATTTTAACTAAAAATTCACCTCCACATCCGTTGTTTCATCATTAACTGAATGTATTTTCCGACGTTTTTTACTTACGGATAAATCCTCACGTGGAAAATCAATTTCCATGCTTGTTTTTTCTCTGAAATACAAGAATCTTACGTAAGAATTATACAAAAATCTTCACGTTTTTCAGAATCGAATAGAACAAACGATCATCGTCTTAACTTACTGCAGTAATCTCACGTAAATTAAACTAACCCTTCGTAAAAAAAAAAAAAAAGAACTGACTGCTTACGAGAAAAAAAATGAAGTAGCGTCAGGATATAACAATGATGCGTTAAATCGTTAAATTAGGATTGGTGAGGTGATGGGATGATGAATGTTTTGTGTTGGGCAGTGGGTTTTCACGTGTTATACGTGTTCATTTACGTCTTAGTCAGACATCTGTTTTGGTAAAAATAAGAATTCGTGCGTGTTATATACGTATGCCCTTTACATGTTAGGAGAGCAATTCTTCTGTTCAGAATTCGTCATTACCACATACAGAATTTAGGTTGCGTTCAAACAGTTTACTAATATTCAGTCTCTGGTAGGTGCCATTAAATCATATCATTTTGACGTATCTGAAACTTTTTATAGGATTCATAAGTTGATTAGGAAGTACGAATAAAATGAGCGCAAGAGATACTCATTCCATTCAGCAGGCGCGAAGTGTTGTGGAACAGTTACGTCGTGAACGTAACTTACGTCGTACGACGATCTCTCAAACGGCGAGTGATTTAGTGCGGTGAGATTATGCTTTTTCAAACTTTATGTAATATTCGTAACACATTCGGAATTTTTTATGAGTTATGCAAAAATTTTTGTGGTGAAACTACCTTTAATGTAAGGAAAGAAATATGGATTTGTGGCTGTGTTTGAGAAGGTATTATCGGAAATTTACGTGAAAAATGTGGAGTTGAAAAGATGAGGAATCAATTTATTATTTTTTTGCATGTCTTTTTCTTGTCCATGTACCAACTGCCAAACTTTCTTTTCCAAAATAAGAAATTCTAATGATTTCATGTGTTTTTGTGAAATTCTTACTTTAATATTTGAAATTAATTCAAGAACTGTTTTTGTTGTTGAAATGCATGTTCAACTGGGATATTGCTAGAACCTCGTATAGTCCTCGAACATACTTTCATGTTAACTTTCATGGAATAAGCTCACTGAATCCAATTACATGTTTAAACTTATTATATCCTCTTTTAAATGAATGTTTGAAATGGAGGAAATCTTTCTGTTTGGAAGAATTCCTTGATAAGTGGGATTATTTCATATATTACAGGAGCAAAATATTCTTATTAATTTGCTGGAGTTCCAGGTATACGCAAGATTGTCAAAGAGACGACATATTACTGACAGGCTTTCCGAATGATAAGATGAATCCATTCCGACCTAAAAGTTCCTTCCAGTGTTTGCTACTTTAAGCCGGTGCTATTATCGGATGTTGCGGAATGGATGATGCTACGCGATCGTATTATCACAAATCATTGGTATTCTTTCTTTCCAGCCATATCTAGCAAAATTAATTCATTTTCTTATTGATTGTGATGACAAATAAGGGATTAGTCTTCTCGAAATTTGATTGTTTACGAACGAATCTGAGGATTTTGTAAAAAACGGAGCAAATCGAGACTTACTATGAAAATGATATCCACATTCTTAGTATATGAGTCTATTTTTTCTTTTTTTTCCCATTATTTTCCATTTGCTATTTAGTATGTGCTTATCGTTGATGATTTTCATTTGAGGCCTAATTTTTATAATTTTTAAAAACAATTCCTTTCCTTCCTGTTTTTTCTCGCCTTATGAATATCGTTGATGTGTCATCTTTATCATATTTGATTTCCTTGTATTCCTACCCAAGAATAGAATTTTTTGTAATTGTAGTAGTAGTCAAAGTTTCTGTTGAACAAACTAATCGTCAGTCCAATCAAGGATTGCAGAGTTAATTCCCGAAACCTGTGCAATACCACTTTTACATCGGAGATTTATATTGTCACACGTTATGAATAGCTTATTCCGCATATCGCTAACAGCGGAATCTTAAATATTAAAATAACTATTAAATAATTAGCATCTTGTTTTCTGTTCATGAATCCCCCGCTTCAGAATTTCTAACGTTAGTGCAAATCATAAAGCAATTTTACTTTACTTATTAAAAACATAAATTTCAAGCATAAAATTTAACAAGAATATTCAGTAGGAATTATCCGCCATTAGTTCATCGTACTCCTTCTTTTTCAATCTTCCTTTTTTTAATTTCTTCAGTAATGCGAAGTCTGAACCGAAATCATCTATGTTCTCCTTGGTTTCGCTATGCCGTCGCTTCTTCGCAGAATTTTTTTGGGAGGTTTGTTTGGCACCTAACTTTTTTTTCTGAGGTCTGCCTTCCTGTAAAAAATTTATGAGTCTCATCATGAATAAATTTATCCATCTGTCAAATTTTCGATGGAAAATAGAAAATTTAGAGGCTCTAAAATAAATGGCTATCATAAACATTAATTCTTGGATCCTTAGTTTTTAAAAACACGTGATTAAATTTATAAATCTGAGTTAGAACGATGAAAAAATGGATGGATTTAAATCGGAGCATAAAATCTTCGTTGGGCAGCTTCGAAATTGGAACATAAGGAATAATGAGCAGATAAAGACACAATGCAATTTTATTAAGATTCGAAAGAAAAGGGCTTGTCAGGAATTTGTACCTTTTTCAGTTCTTTATTTTCAGTCTTCAGAAGCAGTAACTTTTCTTGCCTTCGCTTCTCCTTTTCTGCATTTTTATACGGTATTTCTGAAGTATTTAAATCAGAGCGTTTAAAATCACTCAAATCGCTATGATGAAATTCTTTCATGCGCGGGAGACGTAGCAATCCATAAGCATGGCCATAACCAACAACATCCAAGTCTGCAAGTTAACATTTCGTAAAATATTTCATTTAAAATGTATATCTCGGTTTTCCAAGTTCTTTTTTACTTCGGCTAATTAGCATCTCGTAGGAAATGAAATGAGACAAAAAAAAAAAAAAAAAAATCGTTACCCTTAGATGAACACACAACGTTGCAATCGTGACGCACATAGGATTCAACGAATGACATAAATGCTCGAGTACCACATTCCAGGATTTCTCTAAAGTTTAATTGTCTAATAAACCCGCAAAAGTTAGCCTTCAAGCGCTGTATTTATGCGCTGTCTTCCAATATAAACAGCTGATATGTTCTTTGCTAAATCAACACATGCTGATAGTGAATATCAAGACACAAAAACAGTGAATTTCTTTTAATTATTTCTCTAGTCTTTCAAATATAAAATTTAGGTAAACAGTTGAAATAGTTACAAAAAAAGTGAACATACCGCTCTTTTGAAGCCATCTTAATGATCTGCTGCCTTATTTGTTCCGCTTCATCATCTTCCTTTAGATCAGCTTTCATTTCAGTCAGCGAAACTTTCTCGTACTTTTCAATAAATTCGATGTAAGCCGTTTCTTCTGGTGTAAGGAACAACACATTATTCCCCACTTTACCACACCTTGCGCTCCGACCAGCGCGATGGACAAACCAGCTAGAAATTTTCACAGTAATTTTTAATTTTAGCGATTTGTATTTTGAACTTTAACTAACCAGAAAGTCAAATTAATTTTATACACGCAATGTAAGAGAATATTTACGCTATTACCCATAACTACCACATAAGATATCCCGGAATTTAAAAAACGAACTAGGGAAAACAATACAGTTTTTAGCAGTATCTTCCTGTGCTTATACCTGTTTTTCTTGTATATATTACACATTAATTATTTCTACTCTATGCATTTCTTTTAAGTTAAGCACTAGTAAATTCGTTGATATAATTTAGCTTGTTCAAATTAATGTTGTACTACTTTGAGTCAGAAAAATTAAAAAAATGTCAAAATTTTAGCCTCCAATTACGGTGTTTTGTTATGATATACATGAAAATCAGTACTCGGCGATTTAATTTAACGTTATTTGTAATAGTAAAATTAAAAGCTATCATGGATTCGCTGGTGAAGACATCTCCAAAAACTTACATAAATATTTGAAAGGGTCACTGATTCTAATTTCCTACTGATTGAGAAAGCAATATTGATCAAAACGAAAAAAAAAAATAAATAAAAGATAGACCTTGTTTGTTTTGGTACATCAAACTGCACAACCCAATCAATATTGTCAACATCGATACCTCTAGAAAGTACATCTGTACACAACATCAGTGATTTGCCAATTTTTCGGAAACTTTGCAACTGTAAGTAAAATCAAATAAAAATTTAAATGAATTTTAAACCTTAGGAATCCCATATGTATCATCCTATAAACTCATACTTCATCTGCTGTGAATTACTTTATAAAACGTGAATTATGTGCATCTATATAACGTAACATAAAAAGAAAATAGTAAATAAAATATCGATATCTAAAAAATTATGCCTGATTCTCTGCTTTCTTTCTTTTCTTCCCATGCAATGCAAATATTTGTCTTTTTTGAATGAGTTCTTTCAGTACTATCTGCATGTATTCGACACACTGACAAGTTGAGAAAAAAATTAGTATTTTTGATTTTGGATGAGTTCGGACAAATTCTACCAGCAAATGCAATTTTTGATCAGCTTTCACTACCTAAATATAAAAATTGAATTTAAATAAGAGAAACCCAAGGAAAAAAGAATATTAAAAAGTTGAAAATTTACAAGGAAAGTGCTAAGTAATCCACTACAATGTGATAAAAAATAGATCAGTACATTCCGAACTTAGTTTTGTGGAAGTGGAAAAAATAGCTCTATTTTTATTCATGTGATTGAAAAGTCTTTTATAAGAACAGTTAATATAAAAATTGTTACCTAGAAGTTATTCTGTAGTTAAAAAAAAAAAAAAAAAACCATATAAAAGTTATTCAGCGTATTTGGTGATATTGCCTCCACTGAATCAACTGAATCAAGCATTGCACCACAATTTGTAATTGTAATTTGTGTGGGATTTCTATAAGAATTCAGGACTGGCAAATTAAATGCTATGCGATGATACTTGATGATTTGAATAACGATAATCAAATAAACAACCTTAATCCAAACTTCACAATTTCTTCCATTTCTTTGGCCTGTGTTGCAGAGAATAAACCAGTCCGTCTCTGTTTGGGTAAGGATTCCAGAATTTCAGTCATACTAAAATGGCACATACAATTACCAAATGCAATAATGCATGTTGTTACATATATGTTATGATTACAAACATACTATAAACTTTAGTGAGCATTTGAGTCAGTTAGATTACCGAGTTTTTGCTTACCCAGCTTTGAAACTTGAGTCTGTATAACGATCTGCTTCATCAATAATCAATACTTCAAGAGCTTTTAAAGCTTTTTTAAAGTCTGAATTAGACGAAATCAGTGACTGTAACCTTCCAGGAGTAGCTATTATTACTGCAGCGCTAAAAATTAAATTTATAAGACAAGAGATTAGTGTATTCCAGAAACTATTCAGCATTTAAAAGCATAATGGAAATACTCAACAATGTCATTCTGGCACTTCCAATTTGTTCTTATTGTGATTGGTAACAGCGAGAATTCAACACAAAATTATTTCAGACTAAAAATTATAAGCGATCTGCCAAATATACTTACTTCCATTTGATAAAAAAAAAGAAATAAGAAAAACCTCAGACACTGGTCTGCTTTTGAGTTAGATTTTCCTTTTTTTCCACCAATCATCACACGCATACTGAAGGAGAGTGCATCCGCAAACAATTTACAAATTGCGCCAACTTGTTTTGCTAATTCTCGGCTTGGAACAATCACCACTGCACCTATTTCATTTTCCGGCCAAACCTACAACGCGGAATGACATATAATTTCCAACAATACTATAGCTTCGGAATCATGTAAACACTTGTAATTTCATTGAAATTTACTCATATCAATCCTTTTATCAGTAATGTTTCAATGATATTAGTCAACTGTAATATTTTTAATACATCGAAGAATTAAACCTTTTTCTTTTTCCATAAAATAGTAAACAGTGGTAAAATATATGCGAGAGTTTTTCCGGAACCAGTTGGTGCTTGCACAATAACATCTTGAAACTTCAATAACCTCTCTATTACCTGTTCCTGAAAAATATGCAAAACTTCACATAACATTACATTTCAGGAAACCTTTAAATATATCGATATCTCGGGCATATGATGTCTTAGAAATATCCTTTTCAAATCGTTTCTACTGATTATTAAAATTGAAATTAACAGTTATAATTCAATGTTGTTGACATGAACAGAAAAAAGACTGAGTTGTTAGATTTCTTTAGGATATTGAACCACATGTTTAATCATGATTTACACTAATTAGAAGGAGTGTTTGGTTTCTATGAATTTATGATTTTGTTAAAAAAGAATAAAAAATATGAATGTGCATGTTATATAGTAATACTTTAGAAAACTGTTATTAGCATGTTCTTACAGGATTCAGCCGCTTCATGCAAAAAGGGAAAGGCAGATTGTTTTCAGAAATCCAATTAACATTATAAAAGTGGTCGAAAAACGAGAAAAAGATCTTATATATTTCACTTTATTCAATCTCGCACAAATTTTTTTGAAAAATACTTAGCACTAAATCACTTTACAAATAAAGACTAAATTTTTTTTCCTGTTTCAATAAGCATTTTCCACTAATTATAACAATTTCATCAGCTTGTGAAAGAAGCATACAAACGTTGAAATAAAATTTGAGGATGTCAAAATAAATGCTAAAAAAGAACAATCAGATCAATCAAATCACTTAATTAAAGAATCCTTCAATTTTTTTGACAAATGTGAAACTATTAAAAAAGAAAATGTGAAACTATTAAACGTATGAAGGGAAATATAAAACTATACCTAAACCATCAAACAAATTGAGTTATTGGAAAAAAAAAAAAAAAAAAAACTGTATATATTAAACAACACAATTGATCAACATATTACAGTACATTAATGACTAGAATACATCATAAACTTCCATAATTCAAAAAATGCCAGTTCCCGAAGATTTAGTACTGAAGATTTAATAATTTATTGGAACTTGATAAGTGCACTTATGATATTAAATGATAAATGATCTCATTGATGATTAAACAGATATGATATCATGCTTCTTTTGCTTCGCTTATAGAAAGTTTTTAAATTTTGGAAGCCAAAAGAATATCAACAACTATTTCGATTCCATGGGAAACGAAAGGGATTTGCTGGTCGTGCATCACGCCACTCACGGTTCACATTTAGTGGATATTCGCGAATTCGTATGCCGACCACTTTAGCCAGAAAGAAAGCAATCAGGAAAGATGAAATGACAACGATGAATGCAAACACATAGAATGTCTCCTGAATGATGATCAGTTAAGTTTTAATATATAATTTTTCAAAGTAAAGGATACCTCAAACGACAGAACAATTCTTATGCCATTCATTTTATTACAAGCAGTAATATTTTTCATGGAACTTTACAACCCGTCATAAAAAAAAAAAAAGTTGTAAAAAGCATTAGAGACTCATTCAATCAATATTACAAAGCTGCCTAATGCAATAAACTATAAAATGGATCGGTTAAAAAAAACAGATTTTGAAAACTCGTTAATACCATTTTATGCCTTTCGTGTTCAATATTATTTTACGCTGTGACATTTCAGGAAATTTAATTCCAAAGTCTTTCACTATAATGCAGCACAACACACACATACTTGCAGCTCACCTCATCAAATAGTTCATTGAAGGTTGGTATCATTTGATTGGTCGTATGAATTAATTCCAAAACCCATGACTTTTTGCCTTTACGTCCGCCCGACAAATAATAATCACCCCATCGATAATCACTGTGTTCGCGCATCCTCTGATACTCAAGTACCCAAAATCACTGAAGGACAAAACTATCCTCAATCAACTCAGAAGATCAGAAATAAGATTTCAAGCTTGTTTCAAATAACAATTTAAGTAAAAATCGTTCAATCTTGCTAAATGTTCAAAGACAAAGTGAAGAAATACATATTGCTTCATAATTTGAATACTTAAATCCACCAGAAAAAATAAAGGAAATGAGTTTAAGAGAAAAAGTTAACAAAAATAAAAGGATGAAAGCAAAAAATTGTAGGAAGATGGAAATGTGAAATAATAACAACACACATAACGAAAATATGCCAATGTATGTACGAGTTTTAAATTGTGCGAAAACAACAGATTCTTCCAGAAATTAAATCCTTCAAAAGTTAAATTTTATTTTAATCTAGCAGAAGAACCGAAAAACTCAAGTGATACTCTGCTGATGGTATTTAGATGATGTAAAATTTTAAAAAATAGGACGATGCTATACTCGTAAGCTGATTCTAGCCGTAACCTCAAAAGAAAAAAAAAATAACAAAATTAAAAGCAATTGATGAAGGCAAGAGAAAAAAAGAAAAGTTAAATTAAATTAAACTGTAGAAAAATAGAAATGTGCACAAAAATAACAATGTAATAAGGATATGCCAATAAGTATTATTAAATTAAACCGGAAGCACCAAAACAACAGACTGTTCCAGAAATTTTCATACTACGGTCAGGATTAACTTATGCCTATTGAATATCATTGTTCTATTCCATTTGTTAAAAATCTATATCATTTAAATACGTCAGCTGAACGTCACTGAAATTTTTGAGTTCTATCACTGAAATGTTTTAGTTAACATTCAAATCTATATATGCATAACTAGAAAAAGCCATCAAGCAAGAATCCTAAACAAGAACTTAGGATTGCAGGACTATCAAACCATCTCAGTTAATCTCTATTTACTAGATAAGTTACCGATGATTAATGTTCTTTAGGTAAAAAGCAAGCATGCACGTCCACTCTGCCAATTTTGACTTCTTAAAATGCATTTCCCATAGAAGTTTTAAATAAGATTTTCGACAGAAATCCCGTTAAATAAAATTTCTTTAAAGCTGAGTCAGATCATCCCAGTCCAGTTTCTACTTCGTGATTTGTTTCTATAACATGCAAAATCTGCTGGATAGAAAGCTCGAAGCGCCAACATTTGAATCAAAGAAGCAAATAGTTCTTAAGGAGTGACTTTATGAATGTAATGACTAAATCTGAGTTGTATATATTCATAGGAGATAAAGTGATAGTATAATGAAACATTCAGATATCATTCCAAGGTTATCACATATTCCCAAGCAAGAATTATTAAGCTACTGCAATATCTCAACTAAAAAAGTTATTCGAAACCCAAAAACGAAAAATTAATACCTGAACTGGTGTGAACCGTTTGAATGCGAGTTTCTCGATAAACACAGTCAAAATTTCATTGGGTAATAGTAATTTGCATCTTTCACTACTAACTTCCTGCATTGAAAAAGTCCCTTAAAAATATGGTTAATATTTGGAATACAATAAAATAATTCAAATGAAATGACGAAACATACCAAAGCTGTTGAAGAATAAAACATTGCAGTCCTTAAATTTAATATTAAATTTCTTAAAGAACTATTGCAGCGTCTTACAAACTATTTGACGAACATTTTAAGTAGCTTAATATTTAATACTTGATAGACTTTTGAATTTACATGGAAATAAAGTGTATAAGAAATACAAATCTTTTTTTTTTAAAAAAAAAAAAACTTCAATTCTCTCCTAATATCTCATTAGCAATTAAGAAATTATTAAAAAAAAAATTGCAAGTAAATGTTTAAACAAAACTTAATGAGCAATCATCATTTTCATACATCCGTTTAATAGAGTGCCTAAAAGTCGCCCCAACAAGCCGAAAAATTCCAAACTAAATCATTCACTGCCCAATTTCAACGGACCACTTGTCTTGCATAAATTTGAATGAGAGATATTTCTGAAATACATTCGTCCCAGAAATACAGCTGCATTACTGGAGAGCGAAACTTGAAAAATGCACGTAGACAACATTATTCAGTTACAAAGATTAAATTTCATGAGATGACGTGACTATTAATTTGTGATACGTGACAATAGGGATATGCTGTAGTGGAGGGGTCACGTTACGCTGTGACCTTTGCTATTTAGTAATTTAAAAATGAAACAAAGAGGGAAAAGGAAATTTGTAATCTTTGTGGCTAACAAGAAGGAAAGAAAATGAAATGGAAATTGTTTATGTGGAAGTGAGAAATGACATTAATGTGTAGTGCTGTCTATTAGTGATAGCTTATTTAGTAGTGTGACATTCAATTGAAATGTCATTTTAAGATTTGATAAAGTATGAAAAAAGGACGAAATTCTATAAAGATAAAGATAATTTTCTTGATTGATAAAATCGAATTATTCATTTAGTTTTTTCTTTTTTTATAAATAATCAAAAGAAAAATTAATCAATGTATTAATATTTCTTTCAGGTGATAAATGTTATGTGATCGAATGATAACAGAAATGGCTCGCTCGTTCCGATGTTGTTTTATTTGCACTCAAGAAATGGTAATAATGTAGTAATTTTCAAATTCTAATCACATTTTTAGTCACTGAATCCTTTTTTTTATCCGTAGGGTATGTATGTTTAATTATTGTTGTAGGAATGTAACGTGTACACGAAAATATATTGTGAAGAGCTAGATTGGACGATGATATGTGTTAATATTCGGATATGTAAGCATAAATACCTTATTCAATAAAGACACAAATAAATAAAACATATTATTGTAGAGGAATATTCTAGAAAAAAAAAGAATCATGAGCATATATTTAAATTACTAATATATCAATTATTAGTTACTAAATTATTCAGTCTAATGAATAAAATATTAGAATGTTAAATTTGTCTAAATTTTAATAAAAATTTTATTTCATGCCAATTCATATATTATTCTAAAATTTTAACGAAATCTAGCGCTGTAAATGAATCTTGAAAGATTTTTAGATTTCTAATTGAACGGAAACGGATCAATCTTTTGAAACACTGCTGTATTTTAATAAACATTGTTAAAATTGCAAAGTTTTAATAGGAATTTCAGTTAATGATAAGTTATTCTTTTTAAAAAAGTATGAAATTAATGATATGAAAAAAAAAAAAAAAAAGTTAATAATATAAAATTGCTTCATATAATTTGATGATGAAATAAATGTAACATCTTTAAATACCATGTTTTATATTCATATTGATAGGAAAATCAAACCAATATCGCAAAAATTTTCTCATAATTATAAATTGAAAATTTCAGAGTTTACGGAGGAAAGGTGTAAAGCACAAAAAAGTCAAAGAACCGAAGCCAACAGTATCGCATGTTTCCAGTACAAATGCAATAAAGAATGTGAAAGTTACACTAAAAGAAATTGAAACTCAAAAGAATGAAGATTATCTGCAAATAATGGAAAATGAGCATCAAAGGAAGGAACAAAATATTTTGGATCATTTTCAGGATGACAAAAACCGCCGACATAAATTGATGCATCTCGATCTATTATTTCGTGAAAAGTAAACAAGTTCCTTATTCAGTCCACTTTATAAGTTAATGTGAATAAAATCAGCAGTATATTTTATTTTCATCAAAAAATTATAGAATATGTGAGGAAATGGTCATAGGGATTAATCATATGGTAAAGTTAATATGTTAAGTAAACCTATTTAATGTATTGATATTGCCAATGATAGTCTATTTTCTCTCATCACTGTCCAGTAATTTTTGTAAGCAGAAAAGCACTAAATTTTTTTTTTTTTTTGATATTCTTTTCATTAAAATACGTAACACGATATATTGATATATAAAACAAGGTTTTATTTTTGTATATTTGGTATCTTTTTTATTTTTCATCGTTAATTAGTACTTCTATTACCGTAATAATAGTTCGAAAGTGAAGTATTTCCTATTTTTCCATGACTGTTATGGATTATTTGTCTAAGTTCTGACTCATCTGTATTTGAGAATATAAATTTTGAATTTTTTAATCAAAAGAAATGGAGTAGAAAATTTTCAAATATTTTTAATATTTAATGTTTTCTATTATATATTGTTTACAAAAATTGTTTATTTTCATTGCAAAGTTTCCCAAGATATAATTTAGGCAAATTTATTTGAATCTTAACTTGATCCAAAAGAGTAACTGTCATTTTTATTGGTGATAAATGTCTGATCCATTGCTATTATGAAAAACTGCAACTGATATAAGTAAGCTCAATTATGATTGTTTAACTTGAATATCTATCGATGGCATGTTAAATTGATAGATATATTTTTTAAATTCTTCTTTAAATTTTGCATAGTTTTTCAGGAATTATTTCCGTAAATTAGATTTTCCTCGAATTGAACAATGTGCAGCTTGGTTGAATTCAGAAAGATACCACTGGGGCGGTTGGCATATTCGAATTCCAACATCACAACCTCGCTTTGGTATTGTTTTGGCTATCGGTCACTGCTGGTGGAGGAAAACGTCATTCAAATGCGCTCATGAACTAGCCATTCTTGTTGTTCGCACATCGTTCAGCATTATTTATGAAAAACATTATCACAATCATGCTATTTTCCGGGTAAGATCAACTTCAATGCTTGAGCTTAGGTCTAGGCGAATTTCCAAAATAAAAAAAGCAAGGACTGTTATAATTACAAATCCTAGCTTTTTTTTGATTAGTTCTGAATTTAACTGTCAGTGGTTATAACTATCTGTATAGCATTGAGAGTAGATAATAAAATAAATGAATGATATTTTCACGATAAAAAAAGCTAGGACTGTTATAATTACGAATTTTTCAAAATACCCCAAAAATATCTTCTATCTCATAGACATCCATATTTTGCTATAGTCTCAGTACAAAGATAAATACGATCAAAAACAAGGATGTTTTTCATGAAATTTAGCGCTCAATATTTTCCAATTCTCTATGTAAAGAAGCACGTTCT